CACAGCTTGGAAGCTGAGAGAATATGCACAGGACACTCAGAGGGAGACAGTGAAAAAGAACAGGCAAGGGTGAAAATAAAACCATTGACAAGGGCAGGTTTGGTGAGGCCACAGCCCTGGGTGGTTCAGACAGTTAACAAGGTCAACTGCTAAGGGAGGGCAGAGGGCGGAGGGCGGAACTCCATACAGAGGTGTCTCAGGAGGCGGGCAGACAGGCCTGGGGGCTGCATCCAGAAGCATGTGCTCCTCTGACAGGCCATGCAGGGTGGCCCTGGACCACGGTGCCGTGCCGCTGTGGAGTCTGACAGGCTGACCCTCTCACAGTGATGGAGCTGAGTGGGACCCAGGCTGGGGCTCAGGCAGGCCCCCAGGGCAGACTGCAGAGGGAGGACGGTGTGAGGTGTGGGAGCCTGAGAGCTGTGTGAGGGGACATCAGGAAACAACCACCAGCTGGGGGTGGCTGATCAGTCTATTTCCTTACTGATGTCTAAACCCAGGGGACATCAGAGCATTTAAACAACGAAGGCCAACCAGTTCTGAGGGTGAAAACGGAAAGGAGAACAAGATTCAATGCCAGGAAGACCAACACCTTGACCCTCCTTGGGAAACACCTGGGTCTTCAGGGCGCTGAGAGCCAGTCTTTACAGGACAGAAGGTGGAAACCAAAGTGCCCACCAACAGCTCAATGTATGACCACAGAATGGCAAGCATGCACACATAGTGCGGCACATGCACACGGTATGATGCACACACAGTATGGTGCAAACGTATGTACAATATGGCATGTATACAGCGTGGCACATGCACACACATACAGTACTATGTATACACAGTATGGTATACACAAACAATGTGGAATATACACTTATGATGGTACAGGCACACAGTATGGCGCATATGCTCACAATAAGGCATCTATGTTCATACACGTTATGACATCTGCACACAGCACGGTATATGCGAACTAGTGTGGCATGTACACATGGGCATACACAGTGGACTGTCCTGCAGCTGGAAGAAGTCTGTGGCAAAGGACGTATTTATTGGACTTATTTTTTACTGCATGATGGCAAGAATACGAAACAAGCCAATCTATAGAAATAGAAGATGAGCAGTTAGCAGGGGTTGAGGGGGCTGTGGGGAGGGAGCTTCCACGTGAGGGGCGCTGGTTTGATGCCCTTGGTGGTGGAAGTTTAGGATGAGGATAGGAATAAGGGCAGCACCACAGAAGAGGTGCAGTCCATGTCACTGAGGATGGACGCGGAGCTGTGTGTGTGTGAGTGAGGAGTGCAGAAAGAGGCAAAACCAGCCCTGGGAAACAAAGTCACAGAGCAGAGGGCATGCCAGGCCTCGGTGGGTCAGAGTAGATGGTCTGGGGAGATGCCTCATCCTGAGCAAGGCTGGCCCTCTAGAAGGTGGCCTGTCCCAGGGGGGTCTGGCAGTGTGCTGAGAGCTGCCTCACCAGGGAGGGCTGCCAAGGCTCCGGACCCCATAGAGAACATATCATCGCTCTTCACCTGGGAGCCCACAACCCTGCCATGGTGCCTGCCCAGGGTGACCCCAGCTGAGGGCCTCTGTGAGGCCGGGACCGGGCCAGAGCTGTGTGTGGCCATCAGCGTCAGGCCAGTGGGCACCATCCCGACCCCACGATGGCAGGTCACCGAAAGATACTCATCCATGCAGACCCGCAGTGCACGAGTAAGAAGAAAACCGGGGGAGGGAGCAGGTCCAGGGTAGGTCATGGACCTACAAAGTCCCCAAAGTGCTTCTCTGGGTACCACAACTGAGGACTGGGGGCCCCAAGCCCTGAGCACCCACAGAGGCTGTGGCAGTGGGACCATCAGAACCTCCTCTCTGGCAGAAGCCCCTCAAATTCCCATCTCGCTGCCCCCTGGCACAACCTCGTCTCTCCTCGGACCAAGCAATCCCTTCAGGGTCCGCTCCTGCAGGCTCCCCACAGTCCTGCCCTTGGGGCCCTCCAACCCCTATGGGGTCTCATAACTTCAGGGCGACTCTCAGTAGGAACCAAGTCTTTGCTATGCCTCCGCCCGCCGAGGCAGCTACGCCCAGCCATGCCCAATAAAGGCTGTCCCCTCACCCAGCCTGGGCTGGTTACTCATTGAACTAGATGTGAGGGGAGGGGCTGGCAGTAATCACCCTGGCCCAAAGGCCACCTGATCCTCCTGACAGCACTGCCCTCATCTTCCCAACACAGGCAGCACAGCAAGCAAGACTAGCCATGTGGCACGGCTGGTGGCTGTGGTCCCTGGTGGCTGTCTGCGTGGCAGACACGTTCAGAGAGCAGGCAGAGAGGATCATGCAGGGCACTCCTGTCATCGATGGGTAAGTGCCTTCCCCCAGGCGTGTCCCCATGGGCCACCCCTGCAGGATGCAGCTCCCCAGTCACTGCAGGGGCCCTGCCCTTGGGGTCTCCTTCACAGTGTCTCAGTAGAGAGGGGCAGGCAGGGCAGGAGCCCAGGCCTCAGAATCTGGGAAGAGCTGAGCTCACGGCTCCACCTGCCCCTGCCAGGTGAGGCCCAGGTATCATGGGTGGGGGTCCAGGTCCCAGGGGTCTGGCTGGGAAGGTCCTCTGGGATATGCGTCCGCCTTCCAGGACCCACCCTCCTGTGACTTCCCTGGGGGTCTCCAAGCGGCAGCCCCCTGTGCTGCCGAGTGTGCGCCCTGACATCAGGAGTACCTCACACATCTCAGACTAAACTGTGACCCCTATCCCTTGAGGCCTCTGCGCCGAGTGGTGGGAGACCCCGTCCTTGGTTGTCCAGCCCACACCCTGGGATGCCGGGTTCCCTGATGCCACAGGCAGCCCCTCGAGGCTCCATCCTCCCCTCCCTCGAAGGATCCCAAGTCCTGCCCTCTCCCCCACCCTGGTCCCAACCATCATCTCATCATGGTCACGCATGCTGGCCAGTCCCTCAGGAAGATATGTCCCTGCTGGAGTCCCCTCGTCCCGCTGGGGCTGACCACAGCAGTCACTCTAGCACGGGGACCTGCCCCTTGTCTGCCTGGCCCCGCTGGGTGGAAGGCTTGGCTGTGTCTGGGGGCCATGACTGGGCAGTCTCCCCAGGTTGGCTGTGGACCAAGCATGCAGGGACCCTCCAAGCAGTGGCCGGCTCAAGAGGAGAAGCAAGGCTCCTTCCACCTCTCTTGCCTCTGATCCTCTTGGGCCACAATGGGAGATGGGGCCTGGGGGTCCCAGCTGCAGGAAGTAGGGCTCTGGGACCCCCAGGGCAGGACTGGTGTAGAAACCACCTGCAGAGTAGAGGTGGGGTCCCTTTGCCCCAGGGCTCCGGAGGCAGCTGAGCACAAGCAGGGGTATGAGCTGATGTTGGGGGGCCCTGGAGATGCCCTAAGGGCCTAGGATGTTGGTGGAATTCGTAGCTCCCGGACTGTGCAGGAGCATGAACACTAGTGGTCTGACCCCGGTGGGCCGGGGTCAGTCAGTGCTGCAGACTCTCACAGGCTAGTGGCCCAGGGAACCCCTGGCTCAGCACTCCTCGATGCCAGGCACTTGGGCATGGCCACTTCCCCTGAGGTCACCTCATGTGCTAGCTTAGGCCACTGCCTCCTCAGGCCAGCAGGGTGCAGGAAGGGGCCAGGGCAGGCTGCCAACGTTTGGCAGGGCAGCTGGGAGCTGTTGCAGGGACCCAGTCTCTGGGTCACTCAGCTACAACCAGGACTGGACCAGACGCAGCCAAGTCCATGGCCATTGAGTAGAGCTGATGTACACCAGCCCCTCCGGGTTTCTGGGGCTGAAACGCCTTACAGGAGCAGGTAGCCTCATCTGCCTCCCATGGAGATTTAAAGTGCAGCCTTTTTGGTAAGCAGCCCGACGTGTGGGCCCTGTGTGATGGGGGAGGGTCTTTATGCTACGTGGCCACGCTTCTGCTAATGGGGGCTTGTTACCCAGGAGGATGGGGACTCGGTGCTGGTGCCACCGTTAGCTGGCTGGCTGAGGTGCTAGCTCTGGTCCCCGGCTCACCCGAGTAGCACAGGGTCACAGCCTCCTTGCTCCAGGTGGCAGACTTCCAGGCGAGGGCCACCTCCCTCGGGGAAGCCCAGCCCTCCCATTTGGGTTTCGGAGGGAGGAGAGGAAGCAAACATCCCTACCCATCCCCAGGGGTGGGGACACTTGTTCTAGAGAAGGTCCGTGGCCATGGGCCAAAGGAGTCAGGTTCCTTTAGAGAGCTGGGCTCCACCCACCCTCCTGTGAGGCCTTGACCTCAAGGGGTCCCTGAGCGG